ACCCCGAAACCCCGAAACCCCGAAACCCCGAAACCCCGAAACCCCGAAACCCCGAAACCCCGAAACCCCGAAACCCCGAAACCATAACAGGAGGTCCTTGATTGCCATGGTGATAAGTCCACGCAGAGAACCGTCGGCCCGACGCGTCGCGTGGCCGGATCGTGATTTTGTACTTCGAGTGCATGACGGTGTAGTACCGGTACAATGTCGAGTAGTATTTCCAATACATTGGCGTGTTGACCGCACCGGACTGGACATCTGCAGTTGGTGTTGGATCCGCAGTATAGTTATAGGCAGTGATGATGTCAACCGGTGAATTTAAACGAAATGTCATCGTATACACATCGTCAGCTGATCGGACAGCTGCCATTCCGACCTTTGCCGAAGTCACAAAGTTCAAAAAAGGCAAACTAACCGTGACGGTGTCTTGAAACGGATGAGTAAATATCGCCCGTGGAACATCCACGGGTGTAACGCTTTCCGCTGGATTTCCTCCTGGTGCACCTCCACTCAATGGGATCGACGCGGTTCTTAGAATCGGTTGGCTTTCTACAGGAGCATAAGCATATTGTTGAGTTTCCTCAGCCGTTTGACGTTGATGTCTTTCGGCATCCAATCGAGCAACGTAGTCCTGCCAACGTTTTTGACGCGCGCTTTGCGTCATGTAAACATCGCCGTCGTCTCTCACCATGGCAAATTATATAATGAGCAGTGCGTACCTTCGTCCATTTTGGAAAATGAGCCATGAGTCTTCTTGTGGAATTTTGCTTTTGGTATAATACCACTGTCTGCAAGTTTCCGTTTAAGCAGAAAAGCTTGGTATGCCCCTTCTTCGTATGCGTTGTCACGAGTCATTACCATCTTCTCGACGAACAAATCGTCAATACCTTCTACCCAAACATACTTTGGGTTTTGGCCGGTTTCTTTTTCAAACTCTCCGTATAGAGTATCGTGTTCCAACGCGAACTCATCGGCAAAGTTTTGTGCAGGTGCGCCATCGAGAACGTTCCCAGGACCCATATAGTTGTATCCGGGTAGTGACCAATCTCCTTGTCCTTTACGACGTCTGTATGGTCGGTTGGAAGGTCCTTGGAGCTTACGCTTTTCGCCGCGTATCTTTTTAAGGAACGAACCATGTCTTCTTTGCATGGCAAAATGTAAAGTGTTTATTGATAGTATTTATCTTTAATCACTTGACGGTAGTATTCCGGTGTCTTGATTGGCAGACCAGTAGGACAGTCTTGGATGTAATCATAATCCATGTAGAGCTTGGAAGGATCTTCGTTGCCGGCCTTCTTGAGCATCTTGCGATCATATGCAGGAATTAACTTGAGTCCAAGCAAACGCTGGAGTTGGTCAACTCGGAGTTGGTAGAAACGACGCTTCAACGCTGCCTTGGTACTTTCAATGAGCTTGACTTCGTCACAGCAGTTAATCAGCTGGTCAATATCTTGATTCGACGTCACCAGGATAGTTGCACGAGTCAATTGAGGTGCCTTGTACTTTTGGTCGATCGCAAATCCGGCTTCGTCGCAAATCGTCTTGATAAATTGGACGCCAAGGCGGTCCAGGACAAGGCTGTCCAGGTCTTCAAGCATGACATGCGTATGCACTTCTTCGTCGTAAAGGTCCCAGAACCGGTTCTCCAGGTTTTTCTTGTAATAGTTGCCATAGATAAACTGGAGCAACGAGGTCTTGCCGGTTCCAGGGAATCCATGCAAATAAAGGTGCGGGTCCGTGTGCTTGCCGAAAAAGGCCTTCTTCTTTTGATGGACCATGGACTTGATACGCTCGCCGTAGATCATATAGTTTCTAGGGTACGTCTCGAACGCTTCGTCGGCCTTGCCTTCTTCAATCATGCGTCGCATGTCGATAATAACTTCATCGGTCTTCATCTTCTTCTCGCTTTCGCTTCGTAACACAGGGCCCTTGCGCTTGATGCCTTGGCCTTGGTCCTTGGGAAGTTCGCCTTCTTCAAATAGGATCCAGTCCTTCTTGTCGCTCGAAACCTTGGAAAATTCCTTCGTGTGGTGGTCCTTCCAGCCTTGATAAGGAAGGTCGCGGTTGCGAGGCACAAGATAGTAGCCGTTGCCTTCAATAACGTCCCAGTTCTTCAGGATTGAGGCCTTGGACTCTCGGTTGTGGAAGATAGCCGCCACGTGGATATGCTTGACTTGATATTCCGTTTGGTTCGGACGCGTACCAACTTCAACGCCGCCGATGAGAATGTACTTGAATTTGCCGCGGGCGTTCTCAAGGACAATGTTGTCGATGATCGATTGGAGATAGGCATCGTCTTGTACGTTGATGCGAGCATCCCATTGGCGGTCTTCAGTGTTGTACGCCACTTGTTTGTTGTTGTTGATCGTGCTCATGGTAAATTGGAAAGTGAGGTCTAATGAAAAAGTTTTAGCTTTGGAAAGTGAAAATTTTGACGTCAGGATCAGGATCTAAATTACCCATTACTAATGGGTAAAACATATGTTTTGTTTACGTAAACTTGATTACGTAATCGGATTACTAATCATTTTTCAATATGCCACCGAGGCGAAATCCAAGACGTGCAGTGCGCGGCCCACTGCAGCCGGCCTCTGCAGGCGGCCCACGACATGGCCCGGAGCCGGCCCATCGCGTTTATCGCCGAAATGATATATATCATCGTCATCGCTTGCCAAGTCGACATAGAAAGAGCGAAGAAGTGATCGCGTATAGACGGCGCAAGCCGCTAAGATAATCATGATACTGATAGTGTATCATGATACAGTAACGTTACAATAAATTCACTTTCATTTCATTTTACCTTTTGCGATGAAACGAACAGCCGACACTCAAGAACAACGGACCGATGCGGCATTTTTGCGTATTGATTTGATGGAGCGTTCGATGGCAGCCATGCAAGCCGACTACGATATGCTGATGCAGACGTGCCTGTCGTTGAGAGCCGAGAACGTGGATCTCAGAAACACCATCGTCGAGCAGCGTGCTTACGTGACAAGATGCGAGGAGCGAGAAACGTACTACCAAGAACGTTTCCTGGACATGCTACTTCGTGACGTGCCACGGGAAGTTAACGAGATAGAAGAAGTAGAAGAGGAAACAGACAGTGAATCGTTTAGTACGGAATATGATAGTTTGACAGAGATGGAAGACAACGAAACTCCGTGTCGCATGGAATCCTTCAGGTCGACCTGCTGGAGCGAAAGTAACCCAAGACGAGCTGTTCGCGGCCCATTGCAGCTGGCCTCTGCATGCGGCCACGACAGGCAGCTCGTGTTGCTTGCTTATCGCCCAAATGATAGATATCATCGCCATCGTCTGCCAAGTACGCATAGAAGGAGCGAACAAGTGATCGCGTATAGCCATTAAGATAATAAACATGATCCTGATACGTTACTGTATCGTTACAATAAGGAATTTGTTTCTCATTATGCTCTTTACCATGAAACGATCGAGTACCACCGAGCCAGAGCCGCCAGAGTAGCGTGGATTCCTTCGTATTGATCTGTTGGAGCGGTCGATGTCCGCCATGGCCACCGACTACCAAGAAATGACGTGTGCAGCTGCAGTGCTACGATAAGAAAACGAGGATCTTCGAGCGAGGATGCGACTGTTGCGCGAGTACATTGTGCGAAGCGAGGAACGAGAGACCTTTTCCAGCAGCGCTATTTGGACCATCTGCTAAGAGCCTTTCTCTTAGAGCTCGGAGCTCAAGGTGGGTTTCACCAACCTACCACTCCTTACTCTAACCAAAAGCTCAAGGTGGGTTTCACCCACCTACCACACCTTACTCTAACTAAAAGAAGAACAAGTTCTTCTTTCCGGACATCCGGATAACCTCTAATTCGATTGCCCGGTATCCGGATTATTACAGATTCTGACAACTACAATTTATGGCGCAATTTATAGCAGAATTCGTAGTATATTATTCCGACAACAAATCAAACAATTCACTTTCTATGTCTAGGTCCTCTTCTACAGTGTCCATTGTAGTAATACTACTAGTAGTTGACCCTTCTGTATCACTAGTCTCCGAGTCGGTGTCATGTTCCATGATGGCCATTCCATGGCGCGTGCAGTAACGTTAATTGATGACCTTGTTGAAGTATTCGCCTTCCCAGTAGCGCGATCGTTCCTGGGTTTGCCGGATAAATTTCTTCAACTGCTCGTTCTCTTTGCGCAACAACTCGATGTTTCGCTCCAGCAGGTCGACCTGAAGGATTCCATGCGACACGGACGGTGCTTCTTCGGTGGGGCACGCGCGTTTCATGGCAAAATGGGAAATGTAAAAGGAGAACAAATTGTAACGATACAGTTCATAAAATTTGGATCATACGATTTTAGGGGAATTGTTGGGTCGTTGCAGTACTTAGAGCGGCATTGCGAATGCTGTATGAGAGCTAAGCAGATTCCTGTCGTGATATAATGCAATTCAATGGAAGCAGCCCGACGAATATTGAAATATTCGAGTATGGACTTCTAGTTGACGGAAATGAGAAGAACCTACTGTATAAGGTATATTCGGATGCAAGTTCGTGAATCGAGAAAACGATCGCACTAGAATTACTGGATATTTAGTACCACCTGCGGGAACGTGCGCATCATGGTGTAGCTGTAAGCAGTGCTGTGTAGCATTGTCTACTGCTGAATCAGAAAATTGGTTATTGCATTACGTGAAGGTATCAAGGAAAGTGAATGGCTGCGGCACTATTGATGAATTAGGATACAAATTGAGTGATCCTGTGCAATTATAGTGTGATAGTAAATCGGTGAATAGTTTGGTTTCGGGGTTTTAGCGACAAAACATATTCACGAGATCTTGCTGAAAAGAAAAGGGTAAAGATTGACTACTGTAGAACTACAGAGATGCAAGCGGATATTCAAACGAAAGCGTTACCAGGGAAGCAGTTGAATTCTTGAGCGAATCATGAGGATATGCAACTTACAAGGTATGCAAACTACAAGGATAAACAAAGGATAAGGGCTGGTCTGGATACCACGAGTGATATTCAAACACAAAACGATCGGATAACTTATTCTTTTTTCGCCAAGTTTACAAACTGACACCATAATTTCGTCGTGAAATGTCTGGATGCCTCCATCTTTTCCTGAAAATTCAAACTATATCACCCATGTTGATCCAGGACAAGAGCCAGGGAAAACATACGCCAAATCGGCGTAATTTTTTTTCTGTCATGATTTGGGCAAATCACACGAAAAATATCGGCGTATTTTATTCCTGTCATAATTTGGGCAAATCCCCGAAAATTCGGTGGCATCCAGGCACACGCATTTTGAAGAATTCCATAACATTAAAGCTTTATCCTGTCAAAAAGACCGTTTTCGGACAGATATTGTGGCATCCAAACTAGCCCTAAGGCATGTATACTGAATGGGAGTGTTAGATATGAGTACTTCACTTTGAGTAGTAGCAGTACTTTGTATTGGATTAGCACTTACACTGACTGAGTGCAATGTTTGTGATCGCACGCATATTGAAGTGTTGCAGGGTGGAATACTTATGGGCTTGGATGGTCGGTGGTTTGAGGTTCCTCACTCGAACATATACCATGAGCTGAGCTCATCTATTCTGTGGATAGCTTTAGTTGCGAGTGTAGACTCACGAGTAACAAAGGTTGATACTTTCAAAGCAAGAGTACTAGTTTTTATCCGGATGGCTGCGGATATGAAAGAAAACGGCATCTCGCTGTTAGGCTATAATGGAAGATGGGACAAGATTCCATGTGTGTGGTCGGCGCAGTTCGTCGCACACCTCAAAAATCTAATTGTTCAAATGCAGGTGCATGGCTCTCATCAAAGGATAAAAACCAACCACAACCTACGGTTAAATTCGAAACCTGGCTGAAAGATGGCATTCAAAGTAGTGACATTTCGCTGAAAATAAATGAAAAAAGGCAAAAGTGGAACAGCAACAACAGAAAATCAGAACTTTGTTGAGTAACGTTCTTCCGGATTGTATTGTCCAACAGATGAAACTCTCCTATTCGGACAATGAGCCTATCTTTAAGATTTGGGCACAAGTATTGTGGATCGCTATTAACTTCCAAAATTCGCATGGTTTGTCTATTAAATGTTGAATCACGCCGGAGTTCTGATTGGTTGAATATACTTGTCATTTCTGCAAAAGCCAATCAAATCCACTCAAAAACCGATTAGCCAATAGCGTCGAGTCGTGATTCAATTCGGCGGTGAGATTCGATTCGACGTGGTCTGGAAATTCGTATCGAGTTTTACTGTTAATATAACGAACATTTGGTGTGTCAATAAGAAGCAAATTTATTCCAGCTGTTTTATCCAAATGCACCGATTTAATTGGTGGATACCTACCAATCAAACACTGTATACGGCAGGGCGAATGTCCACTTTTGATAGCCAACCAAAATTCGTCATTTGGAGCAGGAGGCTGGGGGAAACCGCGAAAACCGGTTTCGCCTGGGCAAAACTCGCAAAACGGAATATAATTTTGAATGAAAAGTTGGACAAGTCTTAATTTAAAATGAATATAAAATGTTTTCGAAATGTAAACAGCCCAGTTTACACTTTGTAAATTGAACATTCAATACATTGACCTAAACAAAACCTACCTAAACTTCGTCCAAATCCTTCCAATTTTTTTGTCCATAGACCTCCCACCAAGTTTTCAACGAATATGTAATCCGATTCATGAACTTCGTGTTGGTTCACTTGAAATCACACCTCGAACAGTGAAGTTTCGTCGGTTTCGTCAACCTTCGACATCAAAAAATACCAACCTAAACTCCTTGAATTTCATACTAGAGCGCTACGTTGAGATTATGCTCCTAGATTGTGGAATAGAGTCAATAATAGGCACGAAAGTTCACCAATCGTGTCAGTTTACAAAATGTAAACACTTGTTTACATTTTGTTTACTGCCAAAAGTATTCTATTTGTTGTTCTATGTTGTTCTATGTTGTTCTATGGTTGTCGTGATAGGCTAAATATCCTCAAAGTACTCTATAATAAAGTTCAGAGTAGTATAACCGACGTGCAAAGCTCAATACTTGGGCTAACCCTATATGACGGCAAGGGAAACGCAAGTCAAGTTTCATATGAATTTACGTGAACAGTACCCTTTTACGAACTGTTTGAGCCGTTTCACGAACTCTTTTGTCCGGATATACATAGAAATCACGAACCAAAAGACTTCGTAAGTGTTCGTGATTGGTCGATAACCTCTTTTGTCACACACTAAATAACGAAGTACACACAGAAACGACCGAAGAAACACAAACTGTGACGAAGTACACACACGACCAAATTGCACAATACAAATCCCGAGTCCCACATAAACGTCGCCGTGCACAACACACAATTCACCAAATTCCACACAAAAAATGCCTAATCCACACCAAAATTCCTGAACAGTTAGGACGGAAATAGAAAACATCTGACACGTCCATTTCCATCTTGCGGGCAAACTGGGATCGATCCCTTGGGAAAAATATAACGTCACAGTTCGCGACATCAACGAACTGCTATTTTTTTTCTTGATCAACTTATCAAGGTATAAGAAGATAGGACAACATCACTGCAAATATAGCTTACAAAATGAATATATGAATTATTGAAGTACATAAACCTGAAGAAGGTGTACTTGATGCTAATCGGAGTCACTCACTTGAGTTTCCACTTGCTGCTGACGATTCTGACTCCAACGCGTCAACTTGGGCAAGGTGTTCATGCAGCAACTTCAGCTTTTCTTGTACAGAGCGCACACATCATTTTATAGAGTCTGGCTTCAAGTTCGCAAATGCAGCCTCCAGGCGCACTTTTACCTCAGGGAACTTCGTCATATTATCGTATTGACGCCCGACCTCACCTTTGACAATCGCCCACACAGTTTCAATGGGCTGGAGGTCGGAATGATGTGGTGGTGTAAAGACGACGCTGTGCCCACGACGCTCAGCCATGTCAACAATCATGGGCTTGATGTTCGCCTTGATGTAGGTCGACAGCAGCCCCCACAGCTCACTCTTGCATTCGTTGCCCGTGGTCTTTATATCAAAGGCCTTGCACGCATCAACCTGCACACTCTTCCGGCGGCCACTCGTCGGGGTCGATTTCGGCAACGACTTATGGTACTTTGCGTTGTCGAGTACAATCCATGCGTTTGCGATCCCACTGGCCTCCATCTCATCCAACAGTCGCTTGAACCATGCAACGTAGTAGTCAGTGTCGAATATTCCGTGGTAGTCTTTAGGCTCCTTCGACTTGCCACCAGTAAAGATGTCCAATGCCATGATCTTGCTCTCCATTGTCGGTGAGTCCAGCATGGCGGCCACGAAGCAGTATCGCCTGCCTTTGTGTTTCTCTTTCGTTGCAGTACTCTGCGTGTCGTTCGGGTCGTACAAACTTTGATGATGGGACTTGTAGTGATGATGGATGTATGATTCGTCCGTATACACAACGTGCGGCCGGTCGGTCGTGTCGATGATCGCAATCATGCGGCGAACGTAGACGTCTCGCGCCTCTGCATTTGCTTTCGACAAGTGGTAGGTGGAAGATCCCTTTCGACTGCCACGCTTATACCCTTGTGCTTTGAGAAATCGTTGTACGGATCGCAGAGTTGACCACCATTGTCTCTTGTCGTCGCTGTTGAAGTCGAGAACACACACCTCATTGAGGTACACCATGATGTCAGCTGCTGTCGTTCGTGTTCGTGTCGCACGACGTTCTCGGACAAAGGTCTGTACCATTTCGACCACTTGTTTCGTGCGTGGGACAGTAGTTATGTGTACAGTGCGGTTGGCAGATGGGGTCGAAGCGGTGACAGTTTGGGTTTCCAGGTACTCTCGCCACACATCTTGCACCAGGTGTATGTTGCGCCCAAGAGCTTCAGCCACTTTTTTCGAGGCTGCTTTTATGCCCTGGCTTCGGAACCATGCGTGTAAGCGGAGAATGTCGAGTCTTTCCTCGCGGGTCACGGTGCGGTGTCTAGCGTCCTTTACAAAGGCAAAGCATGCTTCCAAGGTGATATCCATGTTGATTGATTAATGAACTATGGTTATTGGCAAAGCATCCTTGACAGGAAATAGAATTGCACGGTACCTCGAAGTAGCTAAATATAAATCCTCTATAATCTTACAATTAAAATCGGATTATGTTATAAAGGTTATGATGTTCCTGGGTGAAAAATGACACTCACTCATGATGATTCGGCAAAGTATTTCACAAGTTATTCGCTTTCGTGGGTTGGATTTTTGGAGTTCTCAACTCCTCAAAATTACCTATTCAACCCATTTATTTTTATAGAGTTTCGACTTCAATTGCCTGAGATATACCAGGGTTTCGGGGTTTCGGGATGATGTCGCGAACTGTCAGTCCACAGTAACATGTGGCGACTTTACAGTTAACATAATGACAACATGATGATAGCATGATGACAGCATCATGTTGTCATTATGTTAACTGTAAAGTCGCCGCATGTTACTGTGGATTGTCACAATTTTAAAGTAGTGTTAACCATAGGCAGACAAGGATTGAAGTTGCATAGTTAAAGCTATATATATGTCATTGAAGCTGGAAAATCTCCAGGCTTCACATCCCTCGACTACTTCAGTGTGTCGAGGGCCAATAGCTACCTTGTTTTGATCCTACACACACTTCTTGAATGTTGCATATATTGAGAGATATAACAAACTTCAATCAGTGCAGCTAAGGTTGCACTACTTACATGTATGCATGTCTTTGGCGATGATAATCATGGAGGTTCTAGAGCTAAGCTCACTTCTGAATCCACCTTCCTTTGAGCCACTACCACTACATCTATGTGTGTTGTGTGCTTACGTCTGTTATTTCAAGTTCCGACGCCCCCCCCTCAAGTTCACCCCCAAGCCCCCCACATCCTTCTACTACTCTGTGACCATGTCCGACGCCACGACCAACGCCAAGTGGGTCACGGACCTCATGTTCAACGACCGGAAGTCATGTTCACTACCCTGAAGGCCCGCATCATCGCGCACCTCAATCTCCAGTCGACGGAAGACGACTACAAGCATGTTATGGACGACAAGAAGCCGCTTACTTGGCGCACTCTGATTGGCTGAAATTTAAGCTAATCATCAACGACGTTGACGTCGCCGCCGACATGCCACCTTCCGCGACGGTAGCGAGCCTGGAGGCCGTGAAGATGAATTGCTTCTATTACCTGCGCATGCAGAAGAGCCTGATCAGGAGCTTATTTGGTAAAGTGTTACCAAATGCGTTTCTGATTCAGCTTCCCGGCACGATCATCAACCCTGACCTCAACCTTTCTGACGTCTGGGCGCGCCTCGAACTCGAGTATGCGCAGTCGTCGCTCGATGTGAGCACTACCTTGTACCAATAGTTTATATGTCTAAAAACTACTCCAGACGTACGTTGCAAGTTTGAAGCGACCTGCTGCACCCAAACGCCCAGGAAGACGCACCACACTGACCAAGCGAGAGATTCGACGAGTTTTTCGTCTCGCTACACGGAAGGGCATGTCGTCAAGGCAAATTCCTGCAGTACTCAGAGGTAAAGTAACACAAACAACAGTTCTTAATGAGCTTAAAATGTCGAAATTCGCTAAGTACATCAAGCGCCGATCAGGTCCGCGACTCTCACCCACCCACAAGAAAGAGCGCATCCATTTTGCCGGGAAATACCTAAGCAAGCTCGACGAAATCAAGTGCACGATGTTTAGCGACGAAACGAAGTTTAATTTGGACGGACCTGACGGATGCCAGTATTATTGGCATGACCTTAGAACTGAGGTCGATACCTATTCCAAAAGGGTCACTGGTGGCGGTTCAGTAATGGTTTGGGGAGCCGTCAGCTTCTACAACAAGACCAAGTTAGCGTTCTTGGAAGGCCGCTAGGACTCTCTGAAGTACCAAGACACCCTACGGACATACCTGCTGCCTGCCATGCAGGAGTTGAACGAACTGACACTCTTCCAACAAGATAACACCAGCATCCATCGTTCGCGTTCAACAATGGCGTGGTTGGAGTCCATGCCATGGAGTACGATGCCATCGCCAGCTAAGAGCCCCGATCTAATCCCGATTGAGAACGTTTGGGGGGTTTTGGCGCGCAAAGTATATGCCAATAGTCGCCAATTCGATAACAAGGCCCAATTGAAGGCTCAAATCCTACGATCGTGGGCCGAAATCGACCAAGAGTACTTATCAACCCTAGTTGAAGGTATGCCTACAAGAATGGCCCAAGTTATCCTGTGTCGTGGACAATCAATTGATAAATATATGTTAATCAAAAATTGCGTCTATAATTTCTTTTCAGACATTTTTTTGAAAATTGTAGATTTCTTGAGAATGATTGAGACTGTGCCCAAATCCTTCTGCGGGCCAAGTTTTGTAACCGTTTCAAGTGAACTGAGAGATAGTTATCCACAAAATAGTACGGTACTCCTTTCAAACTGGAAAAATTTAGGGTGCGTCTATATTTTTCTTTTCGGACTGTAGTATTACGAATATACTTGACAAAAAGATTTCTTTTTCTGGGACTCGAACCCGGAACACCAGTCTCGCAAGCGATCACATACACTCCGGGCCACATTTATGAGAACATTGACAAAAATTTGTCGTTCTCGTCAACCAATAAGAATTGTGAGATGCCGTTTGGATATGACACGCAGCCAATCACATTCGACACGTGGCTATGGGTGCAGAAGCAGAATTCGCTGGAGTTCACCTAGCTTACATGCAATACAAAAAACCAGGCGGCGGTCACATTATGGCAACAAAATTCAATACAAAAAATAATATATATGAATGAATGTTTTGTAGAATGTATATCAATCGTGACGATGAGCACGATTTATCTGCATTTTTCAACATGAAAAAGCGGCAATCACTCACAGGGGAAGAGCGTGGACAGATCAAAGGCCTCCGCGAGCGGGTATAACATACCGTGAAATCTGCGCGCGTACTGGACGCCCTCTTAGCGTGATAAGCCGCTGCTTACGCACCAAGAAGATACAGCCCAAGAAAACCGGTCCAAAGTTCAAGCTTTCCGACCGTCACCGCCGGCAACTGCTTCGAGAAGCAAGTCGCGGCGAAGCCTCTGCTGCTGAAATCCACTCCGAACTCAACTTGCCATGCTCTACGAGAACTGTCAGGCGTGAAATTTAACGATGTGACTTCTTGGAGTTCTCCATGATGGAGAAAACGCTTTCGGGGTTCACGAAAGCCCACAAGCAAGGAAGATTGGATTGGGCCATGGAAAGAGCGGGCGTGGAGATCTGGAAATGCGTGGTGTTTTCGGACGAAAAAAAGTTCAATCTGGACGGCCCCGACGGGTTGAAGCATTACTGGCGGGACACAAGGCGACCATCGAAGAAGGCAGTCATGCGACGCAAGAAGGCGGGTCTGTCATGGTGTGGGGAGCGATTGCATGGGAGGGCAAAAGTCTCCTTAAATTCCTGAATGGAAAACAGGCATCGTCGCACTACATATATACCCTTTCATAATTCTTTTTGCCATTTGCAAACCTCAGGTATGGTATTGATTTCTTGTTTCAGCAAGACAACGCCTCGATCCACGTCTCGCGCTAGACCATGAAGTTTTTTTAAGATTTCAACGTCGCAGTTATGCCATGGCCCGCTCGATCACCAGATCTGAATCCGATCGAGAATGTCTGGGCGACAATGTCGCGTCATGTCTACCGCAACGGGAGACAATACCGAGATCTTGGGTCTCTCCATGTTGCCATCCAAGTTGCATGGGACTCGATTCAAGTCAATGAATTGCGCAAGCTTATCGAGACCATGGATGGTCGATGCATGGAAGTGCTTCGCAAAAATGATGATAAAACCCATTATTGATGTTCATTCTGCAAAACGTTCATTCATATATATTATTTTTTGTATTGAACTTTGTTCCCATAATGTGACCGCCGCCTGGTGTTTTGTATTGTATGGGAGCTAGGTGAACTCCAGCGAATTCTGCTACGTGGCCATGGGTGCTTCTGCACCCACGTGTCGAATGTGATTGGCTTCGTGTCATATCCAAACGGCATATCACAATTCTGATTGGTTGACGAGAACGACCAATTTTTGTCAATGTTCTCATAAATGTGGCCCGGAGTGTTTCTGCTAATGTACTGTAGTGCCAACCAATATTTCAGCCAATGCAGCAATTACTGTACATATAGTGTCCTGGCTATGACTCATACAGTACATTTACTGTCGTCAAGGCCCTGTTGAACTCAGTTTACAACAGTGAATGGGTCCATGGTGATGTTGGGGTAGAATGAAATGTGATTACATGCAGTTACCGGTATGTAGTAGTGTGGCATTTTGAACGCAACTTCCGATTCATAGAGCCATATTGTACATGTAAACACTTGCTCTTCCGTGACACACTCACCGAAGTTTTGTCCAATCTCTACCTTATTTTCTCGATAAATACCAATTTAATACACCTTGATCACATACATTGTTTAATCATATTTATGTAGTCGGATACAAGCTAACAGTTAAACGTCTTAACTGAAATGCGCTAAAATAAATGAACTCATGCAATGGTTTATTTGATATATTCATTGCATATTGTCATGGCACAATTCGCTCATTGGGAGAAGCTATGCTTGGGGTGGCAAAAGTCGCTGGTTCGAACCCCTTCGTCGTTTTTCTTGAAATCAAACTCCTTTTTCTACCCGCACCACGCATCAAGCAGCAATCTCAACTTCGCTAACGTGGCAGCCCTCTACAATAACTAGTACTGTAGCAGCAAAAACCTGTTCCTACTTGGACCCATTTGATGTCTGTGACTGCATACAGCAGTTAAAAAGTACCGTAGCCGCAGGTTAAGTAGACCTTGGATCACCAAGTCGCTTCACATACCGTGGGGGTTGAGATGTATGAGGTGGTGTCGTTCACTTGCTGGTGACTGAGATCGTCCAGGGTATTACGTATAATCACTATTCACACCCTCAGCTACTGTGCTCCCCCTTAGCTTCAATGCTCCCCTCAGAAGTTATATAGCTTGCATGATTAGCACAGACTAAACTGTCTGCTTGACCGCAGCTAGCAGCGAGGGGTGTGGGGGATTCACTATTACTGCCAAGAATCAAAGCCAGCAGCAAATTATACAGTGCATTCTCACCTTGATAATAGCCTCAGACGAGTAGCGGTGTCGGGGTGATGGACCACCATGTAGTTGCCTTATCACCCCGTTCGTGAGTTTGCTACATAGGGTACCAGTAGAACATCTCAGCAACACGAACATCATTGTAGTGTACTTGTATTTCGCATGTATACTACTAGTAGTATGTACCCAGCCATGCCTACAATGCCTACACATGATGGACGCTACTAGTATACGTGTGTGATTGTAGTAGTACCAGTAAACAAAGCTATACCTTAGGACAAATGTACTGTCAGTGATCACATATCTGTTCATGTACTGTAGTGCCAACCAATATTTCAGCCAATGTAGTACTGTACTGTAAGTACATGTAGTGTCCTGCCTACTACCGGTAGTATAACTCATATAGTATATGTATTCTACCACGTCCTCGTGTTGCATTCAAACGACATGTAAACTCTAGCTAACACACGCTGTGTCGACTCTAGTACACATGTACCAGTGCCACAGCATGCCTTCAACGGCAACAAAAGTGTATACCCTACGATGAGTAGTTCTAGGAGTACACTAGCTTCGAGGCTATCCATAATGCCCTACATCTAACCACCGTACTGTAGAATTCGCTTCCGTATGCACCAAAACCCCAATGCACGCACATCCATGTGAATACAGTGTAATGTACCAGTACCAGCACGTAAACCCACATTGCACTAAGCAACTTGTACCACTACACGTGAGGCACATATATCTACAACCGAACTGTCAAAGTAGTACAGTACTATCATTACCGGTAGTGTAATCGATGGCTTAAGTTGCTTTGCGAGTCGACATCAAAGGCACAAACAACGGTTTCGTGTTCACAGTGTTATAACTCGCAGTAATATACTGTAACGTTCAAATTCAAACAGATATATCAGCTCCAACAGTGTCGTGGTTGAAATATGTGGCGGCCTTGCTAATGCCCGGGGTTCAAATCTCGAAATCAATCGTACTTTTTTGTACTTGAACTTGCAGTAATGTAGAATCTGGCCATCCATGTGTGTGATGTAATCTTGTCATCACTGTCGTTCAAAACCTACCTTGCATGTGATTATCCACTGTTGCTTTATAAATGCGGGATTATTGGTATAATTCTGAAGTGGTTGGGCATGCATGGCACATGCGTATTGGTAGGTGCTGGCGTCGACCCCCTTGCGTGGTTCATTCATGTGCGGGGCTGCATGGTGGTTGGTGTGGACGTGGTGGTGGCGTCTTTTAGGAAGGAATACTCAACGACGGCAGACGCCACCGCCATGTCAGCACCAACCACCAGCCACTACTTTGACGAGTGTGGTGGTCGTCAATGTAGTGGTTGGTGCTGGCGTCGATTCGTATTAATTTACACTGAGAATTCAGTGCACATTAATTCTAATACTATCAGCCATAGTAGTACTATATACTTTGAACTTACAGCTACTCGGAGTACTCTGTCACGGCGTCCAAACCCAAAACTCAATTAACCATGTGTGTGACTGACCATACGGGTACCTGATGACACGCCCGTGGCGTGAACAAACACATGCATATACTCCCTTGGGATCATCCCCAACGAATACTGCTGCTGGAAGCCCATGTGTGGTTTTCGTGAAAGTTCGGGTGTATTTCGTTACTTAGTGTGTGATAAACACGGGGCCTCGTGATTGGTCACTATCAATGTAGTGTCACGGACATAACCTTGCTCTTTGTATGCAGGTCAAGTATTCAAAAAATATTTTCCTTTTACGAACTCTTTACGAACTAATTTATCCGGATGAATTCAATTCGAAACGACACAGGACACAACGCATCATCAATGCTGTGGCTGTTAACGCCGCCTCGGCGATAACAGCGACCGAGGCGGCGACAACCTAAATCAAGGATGCCATTGACAGTGGTGCAACTGCTGCGTTGCCTGCGGGCCTGTAAAACGCCCGCGATGATATCTAGCCATCGACATCGGTACGTTGTCGAGCCCATCATTACAAATCATGATCGTCGTGGAAACCAGTGACTCTATTCGCTTGCCGTCGTCGAAGCCAGCCAAGAGTTTGTCGGCGTTGACGGCGTCGTGATCAAAGTGATCGGCGCTGCTGCTTGACTCGGTAGACTTCGCGACAACGGGGCGAACGAATCTCAAGTCGCAGACTTCACCGAATGGGTGGACTCGGGATCACCTGCTTCCATTGCGGACACCAGTTGAACACGACGGCCGTGGCCTGCATCGTGAACTTACCTCATCGCTGTGTGGCAACGTGGCTGATTCTGCTGCTCTCATTGCTCTCATGACGCGAGTTTGCTGAACAAGTGACGGAGAGTGTGATGGCCAGGAAGATGGTGGTGAGTCGCCTTCGGACGGTGCTGCAGTTGCGATCATTGTCAGCATCCGTGAGCCACACGTCATGGATAATAATATGTATCATTATTCTTGTTAACATTTTATGTGCAACTTGGACGCCCTCCGCACTGGTAATAGTAGTATGCAGCTGCCACAACAGGCAATTACGATGCTAATGTAGTGCTTGTAACATACACAACAGTAGTAGATGTGGTTAATTGTGACGTGACGAGTAGCCTACTAGTATGATGGTGAAGAGGAAACAAGTATTTCAACAGGTTGGTTCAACCTCCTCTCGTGGGGGATTGCCGAGCAACGTGTGAGACTTCGCGAATATGTGGCGGTTAGCTATACGCCACATACTTCAAGAAGTCTCACATGTCCCTCACCAGCGAGGAATGTCATGGTCGGCAAGTTGCAACAACAAGTGTGCCTGGAACATAAGGGCTTGCTTCCTCTGTTCCATATTACTGCCCACTTTTGAAGATCACACTTTTTCCAAATTATTTGCGATATTTCAATCCGATTGGTCAACAATAAGAAACATCCGAAACCTTGATAGATGGAATGACTCGCGTGATCACGTAGTCACTGTACACCACAGTGTCCACGTTTACCAACGTTGGCATGATCGTTCCCGTCGGACGGTTGCGGGAGTTGAGAACAGCAGGTAGGTACTGCACGATTGGCCACATGCCAATCTTGCCGTCGAAGTTGGTGCCGCGCTCATCATCATGTCTAGGACGCGCAACCGCCGCCAGAATCATGACCTTGGGGATGAAGCGCTTGCTTGACCAGGTGCGCTGTTCATGCTCTTCACTCTCCGTCAGGTACACCTTGCGCATGTTCCTTTCCGCGTTGAAACACTTTTCATCAAGGTGTACGAGATCCCACATGTCGTCGAAAACCGGGGCTTCGGGAGGCCCGCTTGTGGGCGTATCGCGAGCCGAGAGGACCGCAGGGATGAACGTGCGAACGGCAAAATGCGATACGTTCTGCCTTGTTGTCGTCGGACAGCAGAGGCTTGATGCGAGTGCTACGACGCTGAATCGTTTCTGCTTTCACGGCCCGGTGGAGTGATGCAAGTGGAATGCCTGCGCCTTCCAACATGTAGCGCATTGTCGAGCGTAGCGATTGCAACAGTTCGGGTCCGGTGTGTATATCGGCGGCCGGCCGACACGACCTGCCTTAACGATGGCACCAGTGCGTTTTGTTGATAGACTTTCCAGATACAGGAGACGGTGGTTCTGTGGATGTTGAGTTGGGAGGCAGTGAATGCGATTGCTCCACGAGCAAGCTTGCCTATGGTCGACAGGTGATGTAGGTGGGATCACCTCCATTTTCTTGGCGTAGGAGAGCTCTCTCCCGGTCGGTTGTCCTGCCATGGTTGTCGATGTGTTGAGGTCCCGGAAATTTTAATTCTGAATTCTACATTTTGTAATTTTATTCGGAGACCAGATGGCGAAGTCAAAATTGAGCGCCAAAATTTGCCTTTCCCGCTTTGCTGTCAATAGAACTTTCCTCTAGATTTTGATTCTCTTTTTAAACATGATAGGATTAATCGAATTTGGACAAGAATTCAATTTTCGGGGGCGCCTAGAAGTCAAATGTCGACACATATGGAACAGAGAAAGTAGTTGATTTTAACGCAATATATGAATAATTTTATCCAATCAAATAATTATTTGAAAATACCGAGCAACGATTGGCTACATGGATGATTCGCGCGAAAACATCTTAAATTCCCGCGATTGATGGCTTTCAACAAAATGTACTGGCTGCCACTTCAAAATGGCACATGCAGGTCGCAGCAAGATCGTCCGCAGAAGAAGCCACGGCGACACTACACCCAAGCGATGAAGCGCCAAATGTTTGCGAAGATGCAAGAGGCCAGTACATGTGCAGTCGAAGCGGTGACGGGCATCCCGAAGAGCAACCTCTCATGCTGGAAGCAGCAATGAGACCAACTCATGCGTCTCATGCGTTTTGACGGCAACTTGAGGCGACGGCGCCAGTCGCCCCGAGAAGATTCCGGACACTGAAGCAATGACCGGCTTCATGCTAAAGCTCCGCGACGATGAGCGTGCCGTCACTTGTACCCACCTCGTGAACTACCTCAAGCGCAACTACCGCGAATGGCTTGCCGAGTACCTCCAGGACAAGCGCTGTGGATACAAGACCCACCTGCGCCTGCTCCAAACGTTTTGCGCTAGGCATGGCTTTACGCGTCAACGCCTGACAAAGTCGAAGAAGCGGTAAGGGGACCTCGACGAGATCCGAAAGAACTTTGCGCGTGACTGTCATGCTTCGTATGATGGTTTGACTCTGACTGTGTGATCAACGTAGATGAGACTGGGATGTCCTATGAAATGCCCCCGAATGCCATTTGGGCTGTGCGTGAAGGATCTTCGAAGATATCAAGTGGAGAAAAGCATTCATTTCGAATGACGGCCGTGATGTCTGTTCGTGCAAACGGTGAGAAGTTGCCGATCTTGTTCATTATGCGGGGAATGCCTGGTGACCTTGTCGAGAAGGGCGAATTTGAGGACTTCCCCATCGGCCACTTCTATTCTGTCCAACAGCGTGCGTGGATGGACGTATCGTGCAGCATCAGAAGCATACACACAGATAGGATATGTAGTGGCTCCAAGGTGGCAGAAAGCAGAGTGAGCTCTAGCTCAGTGGCCATGTCTTATCATCGCCAGTAGTGAGATTTGCCATTGAAAATGACACCTTTGTAGCCAAACAGTAGTAGCTACACTTTGTTGAACTTGCGGCAGGGTGTCCATCCTTTGTAGCACCCTGTTTACCAATATCATTTATAATGTTTGCACTGTAGGGGGGGCAGCTGAGGTCGACGTCCTCAGCTGTCCCACCCTTCAACTACAAGTACTTCAATGGCCAGACACTCTTGGTTTCAGGCTCTCGCTTGTGCTCATGTCTAACACTCCCACTAAGTACTTTGTGGTTGAGTTTCTTGCAGATCTTTGACACCCAATTTGCTTCTTAGATATGCAAATTGAATTTGTGGAAGAGGTTTAGTGAGAATGTCCGCAATCATTTCCTTTGATGGACAATAAATCACTTCTATCATCTTTTCCTCAGATAACTCACGGGTGAACAGGTAGCGAATATCAATATGATTTGTTCCTTTGTGGTTTCCAGGTTTCTTTACACAATCAAACGCAGCGCGGCTATTGCACCACACTTTTATCGGTCGTTTAAGTACAAGTCCCATTTCATTGAGTAGTGCATAGATCCACTCACATTCTTTACATCCCTCACTTAGAGCGATCAACTCAGCTGTAGATAGAGGTATGATCTGCTGGGCTACCTGCAAGCAGCATTGTATAGCTCTACAATGCTGCTTGCAGGTAGCCCAGCAGATACAAATCCCTGCCATCCGAATAATATAACCGGTGACGAATTTACCATCTTTAGTTTGACTCGCGAAAGATGCGTCTGTGTATACGTCGTATACTACTTGATCGATGTTGCCATCCAAGTAAAGACCCGTATATCGAGGTACCTTTCAAGTATCGCAGGATCCTCAAAGCCGCTTGCCAATGAGTAACGTTATAACAGGTTAGAAATCGACTGAGATCTCGAACCGCATTTGCTATATCTGGTCTTGTTCCTCTAACAAGGTATTGCAATGATCCTATAAGTCCCCTGTAGTCATAAATTTAAGCATCTATCTGCTCTTTTGACATTGTGCTTTCAGGTTTCAGCTCTTGTCCGACAATCTGTGGTGTGGATAGTGGTGTGACATCAGCCATTCCATATTTCTCCAACAAATCATGAATGTACTTTTGTTGAGAGATTGCCATTGTTTTGTTGTCATGGTCACGTTTGACCTCCATTTTAAGAATGTAGTTTATATCGCCCAAATCCTTCACTTTGAATCTGGTCGAGAGTTCGTTCTTAATCCAATGCATTATCCTTCCTACATTTGGTGCGAAAATGGTAATGTCGTCCACGTAGACGACAAGGAGGAGCCAATCGTGTGACTTTGCAGTAAATACCTCGCTCATATCTCCCACTTTTTGGACGTAGATACAATATTCCTTATAACAACGGACAAAACCGATGCTTGTGAGGTATTCATGTAAAACATTATACCAAATGCGCGGCGCCTGGCGCAAGCCATATAAGCTTTTCCGCAACTTTAGTACCCGTTATGGTTTCTGTATGAAACCAGGTGGTTGTCTCATGTAAATCGTCTCACTGAGACTGCCGTTGAGAAATGCCTTAACCACATCCATTTGATGGCATTCGAGGTTAAGCATAGTAAGTGCGAGAACTAGTCGTAGAGACTCGCATCGTGCGACAGGAGAGCATATATCGTTACAGTCGATTCCTAGTTGCTGGTGGCATCCTTGCGCAACCAGCCGAGCTTTATATCGTTCAATTGTCCCATTTGCCATAAATTTGACATTAAACACCCAATGACAGGGAAGGGCCTTTTCGCCCAATGGGAGGTCAGCAGATTCCCATGTCTCATTTTCGAGAAGGGCATTGTACTCGACATCCACAGCACCTCGCCATATGGCACTATCAGATGAGTTCATTGCCTCTTTGTAAGATCATGGGATACGTGGTGATACGCTATTTGCAGAAACTGTCAATTTAGGCGTAAGTTGTTTAACTACAGACTTGAGGCATGCATAGTGCTCAAGGTACTTTGGTCGCTTTCTTGGGCGATCCTGTCGAGTTTTCTCCACCTCATCATGAGGAAAACCTTCGTGAGGAATATCACCCGTTATCCTTGCAGCTGGAGATGGGTCGCCCATTGTAGCTCCCACTATCCCGTTAGCACTAATTGAAGAAGAGTCAGCTACTCCCACTGTCACTTTACTTGTGGGATGGAGACATTTTCGAGACTGTTTTAAGCCGTCAATTTCTTTAATCTCTTCCTGAGAGAGACTAGGATGATCCATTCGAAACGCATTCTGAACAATTGATGAGCAAGGTGCAGGATCAAACGTAATGTCCCGTGCGATGAAGAACCGATTGTTGGCTACATCATACAGCCTGTATCCTTTGTATTCGTCAGATATGCCAAGGAATTTACACTTTACAGCCCTAGCGGAAAGTTTCTTGTCTTTGCGTTACCCAATTTCATATGGTGTTTTAAAACCGAGACGCTTCAAAGGCGTCCATTCTGAACATCGTTCATGTACTGTAGTGCTTCAGGCCACCAGTATGCAGGCATTTGTGCATCTAGGAGAGCACATCTGACTTTAGAAAACTTTGCCTGATGGTCTCGTTCAGCGGACCCATTCTCTTCATGTGACTATGGAATAGACTTTTGAAATGTAAGTCCCTTTTTCTTACAAAATTCGTCTAAGTCTCGATTCACAAATTCTGACCCGCCATCACTGCGTAGTACTGTGAGGGTCATTGTACCCTTTCTATCGAGGTTTACTATTAGGTTTTTAACCGTTTCAAAAACCTCCTTCTTTTTCACAAGGACGAAACACCACCGCCACGAAGACGCGTCATCCACTATGTTTACATAGTATCGCATACCATGTTTTCCACCGTAAAACACCCTTGACTCTCATTGGTCCATTTGTGTCCATATTCCACCTATTCTTTATGAGCACTGGCCAAGAGATCAGGCGATTTGTATTCAGTAATGTGTGCTATGTGCCGAGTGCGGCTTCGAACATACCAAGCGAAAGTGCTTTAAAAACATCCCGGTACCACATAATCGACAGTCTCAGTGGGGACTACAAGTTTGTTTTTCGGAACAAGCAACTTCAATTTGTCGCAGTTGCCTCAGACGGAACATATTATGTAAAGCATTACTCCATGAGACAACGACAAATTATGTGCAACAATGCAAAGACGATGGTTCGGAAACCGCATCCTAACCTACTGATCAGTCGCGACAAAGTAGAGGCACTACTCAATAATTGGAATGTTCGCACGGATCACATAAGCAAAGCATGTGTTATCTACATTCTCAGTCAAGGTCTTATATGCGGTTTACCTCGACTGAGTAAGGATGTTATAAATAAAACCCCTTTCGGTCAGAAAAATCCAGATCGTAAGTTGGTCAGATTTATTAGTTTCGGACATGGTATTTCCGGATACTTTAACAGGATGTTTCGACGCCTTGGCCGTGTTCGAAACAATCGTCCCGCGCGTGGCAGCGCCGTCGTTGATGTTCTTGTGCATCTTGCTCTACTTCTCATCGCTAATGCGAAGAAGGCAGGTCGCCTTCATGTGGCTAGTGCCATTGACATTCGCAGTGCCATAACAGTAGAAGCATTCAGTGTAGGACGACACCTTAGTCTTCTTCACCTCATTATCCGCAATAGGACGCTTTCTTTCGCCCATCACAGTCAACTTTGACATGGCCGCAATATCTTTGCTACTCTTGTTGCTAAAGATTTGCTTGTGCATTGTCTCAATGACAGGCAGCTTAAACCCGTCATGAGTTTGAATCACACTTGACCCAAAATACTCCGATGGAAGCGCGGTGACTAGTGCCTGCGAGACCTGGTAGTCATAGATCATTATCTCCCCAAGTTCTTCCGCGCAAGTTCATTTAATTGGTTCTGTAACGAACGTTTCACTAACTCCGTCACACTGTTGAACGGTTCAGTCGACAGTGAAATGTATTTGCTGTAGAGGGCAGTGCTGATATCTAGAGATGACTGTCCGTACTCCCGCTCTAGCATCGCCCACACTTCGTGAAGTTGAAGCGTCGGGCTGTTGATAGTACCTTGTAAGTGTACTAGAAAGTCCGCCGGTAACGTTTTACCAAACAGTCCTCTAATAAATGTTTCTTGCATTTTGAGATAATAGAACCTCTTGTTCTTTTCGATATCTAGTGCATCCCTATCAAACATTGGGTCCAACCCAAGGTTTGTGGGGAGGGCGTTAGGGTCTACCACGGGGCGGAATTGGAGCCAAACGGCATACGGCATGAGGTACGGCCGTTGCCCTTTGTCGACGCATTCGAAGTCCTTCTCGTCCGTGATTGAGTTGAGGTGGGCGACGATTCTTGATTTCCACGTCGTGAAGAGTTTCTTGTTGCCGCTGAATTTGAGATAGGGGACATGGTTCGGTTTTTGGTCTTGGCGGGGATGGGGGGGCAAGGTTGTACTTGAAATATCGTGCAGCATCAGAAGCATACAGTCAACGAAGGAGTGGTTCGCCTATCGAACTATGTTGACAAGCAACTGTTTTTTTAACCAATCAATTTTTTTTGTAATTTGAAGGCATGTGATTGGGTAGCTATAATATTTTCCCGCCGGCGCGATTCCTTTAAAAAGTCTCGCCACAATCATTGACAAATTGATGACAGTGAACTCAACGCTTCGCGGCCCAAAGCGCGCCTACCAAGTGGCCATCAGGCTTGAGGCCATTGCACTGCTGGAGACTATGTCGGACTACAAGGTGTCGGCTCAACTGGGAATTCTTCGACGAACCATACGCTCCTGGGCCGACCAGCAAGACGATATCCTGGCGTACACCGGGAACAAAAAGCGAATGAAACTCAGCCATGGTGGCCGCTCCGAGTCCTTTCCTGACCCAACAGGACTCGTCGAGTTCATAGCCGAGATGCGTGCTCGCGAACGTGCATTGACCACAACTCATATTATCAACTGGATTAAACGCTTCCAACCTGACTGGCTGCGACTGTACCTTGCCGATAAGGAGCCCGGCATGGCATACCAAGGCCTCCTTCGTCTGCTCCAACTCTTCTGCAATCGTCATGGGTACTCTCGGTAACGCGCTGGCCACACCAAGAAGTCCCGTGCTGCACTGACCGAGGTCCGCGACGAGTTTGCGGAGGAGTTTCACCGCGCCTACAGCGCCTTCGATGCTGACGCTGTCTACAACGTGGATGAGACGGGTTTTCACTATGACATGCCACCGAGGTACATTTGGTCAATCAGGGGTGGCGATGCCAAAGTGTCGTCGGGTGAGAAGGCATTCACTTCGCATGACTGTGGCGCTTACCGTTCGTGCCGATGGGACGAAGATGCCTCTGCTGTTCGTCGTTCGGGGCCAACCCGGCGGTCAGATCGCAACCAACGAGCTGCCAACGTATCCCTCTGGCCATGTCTACGCAGTACAACCCAAGGCATGGATGGACAATGACGTGTGGCGACAGTACCTTCGTGACTTGCTACTGCCCTGCATTGACGCCGTCGGTCATCTTGGTGGACAACTTTGAGTCGCATGTATCCGACGAGTCCTATGACATTGTTCAAGACGAGCTGAGCAGTCTCCTCGTACCGATGCCTCCGAATGCGACATCTGTGTGTCAGCCGCTGGATGTCGGTGTGATGGCGCCGTTCAAGAGGCTCCTACGGGACGAGTGGTTGGC